AAAAGGTGCTGCTGAGGTCACTGTGACGTCACCGCAGGTGGAGACGGACTCACAAAGCATCGATGCTCTGATCAATAAACACCGAGAACCATACATGATACCAAAGTGCGAATATCCTTCATTCTCGGAGAATCGATCATAACCGATGCTTTATCGATCAGTTCGAGCTGAGAAGTTTTTCATCTGCAGGGATAATAATGAATAACTCGTCTCTCTGTGCGTGGTTCACATTTATGAATAATAATGATCCATCATATTGATTAATGAGCCAAACACACAAAGCGATTAAGGACAAACATCCGTCTCCAGTCGGAGCTTCACTGGCTGCGAGGAAACGTCAGCGCGACCGAAGCTTCTTCTGCTTTTCAAAGTACCCGTGAAAAATCCACAGACAGTCACGGAGCTCACTGTGGGGTCATAAACCAACACCTGTGCTGTTTCTCAACGAAACACTAACACTCAATCTCATTTCAAAATAAAGGCCCAGTCCTTTCATGTCCACGGGACACAGTAAATTACGTGGGCTCATTTCCACATATCTGAAACACACTCAGCCAATAGGAGCACTCCAACATTTACATTTACCCCATAATTAATACAACTGATGAACAAAGCAAAAGAAAACAAGACTGCATCCCTCACCCATCCATCCCTCACCCATCCACCCCTCACCCATCCATCCCTCACCCATCCACCCCTCACCCATCCACCCCTCACCCATCCACCCCTCACCCATCCACCCCTCACCCATCCATCCTCCGTGAGACTAAAGACATGAAGAGGAGAAGATGAGAGTGCTCTGGCCCTGAGATGCTCAGAGTGCTGGAGTGAATCCAGCTTTAATCACCTCTCTGTCATCATAAAGGTTAAAGAATCAGGCAGGAAGTCAGAGTGGAGACATAAACAATAAAGGAATGATGAGTAAAGGCTGTGAAAGACGAAGCTCTCTGAGTTTTTACCTGCTCAGATGTTCATGAAGAAGAAGAAGAAGCTCCAGAGCGAGAAAAGCATCCAAAGTTTCCGCTCAGCTCAGACGGACTGAACTGAGATCAGCTGCGAGCGTACGGACACACAGCTTCATCTTCATCCTCCTCCTCTTCCACCTCCTCCTCCTCCTGTGGCTGCTGGAGAGCCTTTCCAGCTTCCAGTCACCTCGCGCAGCTTTATAGCGGGGAAAGCCTCACACACGCCGGCGGAGAGGGAGCGGAGGACGTGGGAGAGGAACGCGGGCTGCAGCGACCCCTGCAGGCCGCACACCGGCGGCACAGGCGGGGCAGCAGAGCCGGAGGAGCGCCGCTGACTCATTTGTAATAAAACAGTACGGTTCACATTATGATCAGAGACACGGGCAGTAAAAAAATACTAATTTATATTTTTATATCTGCCTACAGATTTACGAGCTTCTTTTTCGATTCAGGTCATTTTTTTCTTCCCATATTTTTAAATGATGAATATTTTTGGTTTATTTATTGATTTATTTTATTTTTGAATTTGCCTTTTCCTTCACAGATTTTTGTTTATTTGTTTGTTTTTGTTAAATTTGGTTCTTTCTCTTTGTTGTTTTTTGTAAATGAAATTGTTTTTTCTCTACTCCGTTTCTATTTATCTGCAAACTTATGAGTCTTCATTTTTTGTGTTTTATGAATTTATTTTTTTTCTCTTCAATTTTCGACTTTCCACTTTTTATTTTTGTTGTTGATGATGTGTTTATCCTAAACGTGTGCTCTAGTAGGGTTGTATATTTTTACTCCATTATATTGTGGTTGAAAAAAATCATTTTGTACATTTTTGTATTTGAACCCTTTGGTTGTTTCTTATTCTGCAGCTAAAGTTATAATTCCCACATGTTGCTTTAGTTATAGGTAAAGCTGGTTTTGTTCAGTAGCATTAATCATAATTAATAACACCATGTACATTGAGAAGCAGAGCAGACCTCCTCCTGCTGTCACTCGGTTTTAGATATTTGTTTAAATTCAATCTTTATTGGCAGACTTCCTGTCCACAAAAACAAGACAGAACCCCCCCCCCCCCCCCACCACCACCAAAAAAAGCCCTAAACAAACAAACACAACCTTATATATATATATATAAATAAATATGAAACATTTGTAAAAATATAAAAACAATAATATACATCAAGCACAATTGCTTAAAAGAAATCAATAAATACACAAACACTTCAACCGCTGCTTCCTCAGACTGCATGAGTAACAGGAACCACTCACTGTCGGATCTGTCAGCGCTGTTACTAGAACCATCCAGTCGTTCTCTAAAAGTGAACATTAACTTTCTTCAAAGTGCTTTAAAAGTCCAGACACCCACAGCTACAAACATCTGGCTGCCTGGCACTACCCCCTCTAGGTCTCCTGCAAAGGATTCTCACTGCATCATTATATGCAACATGCAGCTTCTGCATGCTACAGTGTTTGTAGGATGACCACAAGGGGGCAGTATTTACGCTTTAAACAAAGCCACTTTAACTGGAAGTGAGCAAAAGCTGAATTTGCGTGCAATAGCATTTGCCTGCACATAGAGCTTACACCGCTGTCTGTATCTGTCATCATCATCATTCATTTGCTCAGTAATAAAATGATCGAGGTATTTCACCTTTTTATGAACTTCAAGAGTTTTTGTGCCAGTTTAAACAAAGGGAAATTTAGCTGTTTATCCTGCTTGGTTCTACATATCAAAACAGCACTTTTAACAGAATCGTACTTTATGTCATATTGCACACCATATTCAGTACAGACATTGAGAAGCTCCTGTAACCCAGCACTGCTTGGACTAAAAACAACCAGGTCATCTGCATACATGAGATGATTTATCAATGTTTTACTGTATGGACAGATCATCAACATATAAATTAAATACTGCTTCCTCATTTAACCTGCATGTTCTGATGAGCGTACCAGTAAGAGAGAATCCTCACCATGTATTGAGGAACTCCCCGTCTCTTCAGGTTATCAAAAAGTGTTCTGTGGTTCACTCGATCAGAAGCCTGAGAGGCATCAATGAAACACATGAGGACAGATGAATTTTTAGCCCTGTACAAACTGACTATTTCCTTGAGTCACATGTCAGTGCCGTGCTTTGGTTTGAAGCCAAACTGATTATCCAGAGAAGAGATGAACACACTAACTCTGTCAAACAAGCTTAGATAAAATACTGGCTAATGCAATCGGCCTGTAATTATCCAAACATCTCACTATTGCAGCTTTGTCCTTCATAACTGGTACCAGTAAAATACACAGCACTGAGTCTGGTAATATGCCATGAATCATAAACCCAGTGAAGCAGAGCGCTAGAAGAGGAGCTAGCCTTAAACTAGCATGTTTTAAATGTTCTGCAGTGATGTGATCCAAACCAGAGGATTTATTATCAGATAACCTATGAATGGCTTCATATACTTCATGTGTCCTCACACTTATTGTGTCATTGCTCATGTCAGAATTGTCCTCATATGGTTCACTTTTTATACAGTTAAACGACGCACTGTAATGCTGTCTCCATAACGCTGCAGTGTTATCTGCCCCAGAAACACCTTCAACAGTTGATGGCAGAGATGGTTTACAGTTATTAAAAGCAAGTTTATTGAACCTATTAGTATTATTATTGTGCTGAATGCTGTTTTGGTCCAGTTGACCTGTTTTTGGTCACTTTGTGTTTTGGTAACATGTTTCTTGTTCGAGTCCATTGTTTTTCTTCCTTGTCGCAGACACTGTCTTAGTCTTTTTTTCTTATTTTTGCCTCTTCATGTCTTAATATTGTCTTGTTATCACCTTATTTATTTATACTTGACATCTTATTTTGTTTCAATTTTTCCTCTTTTTTAACTTTATTTCCTTTTTCTGAATTTTTGTCACTCTCTGGTTTTGATCACTTTGTGTTTTATTGTGTTACTTTTCTCTGATTTTACTTTATTTCCTTTTATTGTCACCTTTTTTAAAGATTCATTTCATTTTTGTTTCTTTTCACGTATTGTGTCACCTTTTCACGCCTTTCTGTCTTATTTTGGTTGTTTGAAACTCTTTCCTTGTTACTAGTGTTGAGCACCTTTATTTTGGAAATCTTCCCGGTGTGTTAGGCACGGCAGGGCAGAATGCGGAAGTTTGAGTAATATTAGAGAGGAAGACGGCTTCGAGTTGAGTCTGAACTTTACAGCTGGAAACTTTATCTTCGTCCTCAGCGGCAGAAAACTGAACGGTGAGTTTGTTTCTGAACATTCGCGTTTTTATCCACTTCAAACTTTATCCTCACTTCCTGTTTTAGTGGTTACGTTACGCAGATTTCAGGCCACCATCAAAAGTCAATACGAAGCCCGCTGCGCGTCCGTTTCACGAGGAAGTGCGACGTACGCCAGACTTCTTTCAAAATTAGGTCAATTTTATTTTCCAGGGTCGTGTCTGGAGAAAAGCGCTGAATTAAAATCATCGCAGAATCTTCACATATTTAGTGACCGAGCCGCTCTTCATTTCGGCAGCAGCCTCTTCGTCCTTATCGTGTATTTGATCGCGGGCCGTGTAGGCTTAAAAGTTGGTTTATCACCGAATAATCTGCAGAGTAGGGGCGTGCCGTGTGTTCCGTTTGTCGGGACACTGACTGGACCTGTAGCTGTCTGTAATCACAAACTCGCTCATTATCAGCATTTCTCATTGCAGTTCAGTGCTGTGGTTCAAACATGGCCGACTAATGGCTTCATAAACTGCTCTTATCACACCTGAGCTGTGCTCACCTGCCCCGATCACTTTCGCTTTCACTCCTGTGAAAATGAGAAATTGATCTGAAATGTCCCCGCAGCTCCACGGAGAAGCTCCACGGAGAAGCGCCACGGAGGCTGAAGTGCAGAAATACATTCAGCGACCTTTCAGCGCTTTTCACTTCATTTGTACTGCGTGACGTCATGTCGACCTTGTTGCTGTTTATGAAGACAAACGAGCCTGACGCCATATTTAGATCTGAGCTTTTTTCTTTCACTGTTTGTTTTTAAGGTGGACTTCGTGTTCCGGCTGCTCTGAAACAGGGATTTCCCATCGTTGGACATGAATACATCGCATCTGCCCTTAAATCCAAATCACTGCTGTAGTTTTCTGCTCAGCAGCTTTAACTTCACGTTCATTCAGCGTTTTAAAAGCCTGTAGTCCCACCTGCTGTGTAGGTGCAGCTGGGTATTATTATCACTATTATTTGTTGTTGGTGGGATTTTAAAGGTGGTCACGTGGTTCCTGTGGAAGTGGGCGAGCATCTGAGATATTATAAAATGACTTCGTCTCCCGTTGAATGTACCAGGATTGAGTGACGTGAGCTTTGACCCCTGACCCCCTGAATAGGCGGAGTGTGTGTTGATGTGGTTTCCGGTTCTCCTCCTTTGTGAACTTTGAGGCTGCTGCTCTGATGGTGGGAGGAGCTTTAATAACGCTGCTGTCCTGAGAGCTGGCAGATCCGAAGCGAGGTTAACGGTTAGCGAGCTTAAAGCCACGGTTTTCAGTCCTCTTTTCACCATCACCATGGTAACTGATGCTGAGCAGGCCTGACTTGAAGTGTGTTTGAAAGTGCCACGTCTGGATTCTTTAGCAGTTTTAGTGCTGAAGGAATTTCTGTATGAAACCTGCTGAGCTGGAACTTACCGACTCCGCTGAATGAAGCAGGTTGGGGCAGCAGCATATGTTGCCATGGTGATGTATCTTTGCGGTTATCCTTTCAGGTTTACCTGACGGTCCAGGTAAGCCTGAAGTTTCCTCTAAGCCGCAGGTCCCGCCTCATGCTGCCGGCCTCTGGTGTGAGATTCGAGTGACATTTATGGCTCTGAAATATTAGCACTGCAGCTTTTTGTCCCTTTTAGAGCAGAAACCATGAGTGTGTGGTGTTCGTGATCTGACACGTCTCTGTTCTCTCTCTCAGCTCCATCATGGCTGAAGCAGTTTATACTCCCACCACGACCCCAAACCCCGGAAACAGCTTCTGCCTGATCCCTTCGGCCCACCTGGACAGAAACCGCTTTATCCTAAAAGTCGTTGAAGTGGTGAGTTCAAAGATGCTCAGACTCATGTGACTCTTCATTAGCCAATGAGATGCTTTCGTTTAGCATTCATTCACACCTGCAAACACACAAACTGTGTGAAACCTTCAGGGTTTCCTCATCGTCTCAGCTCATTGGCTGAAACTGAAACGTGTGTTTGCAGGTGTGTTGTAAAAGTCTGAGTCTGCTGAAACTAAGCTTCATTTCTTTCACTCCTTGTTTGGATTACACTGAGCTGCTCTGTGAGCTGACACTGCCATCATCAGTGTCCTCTGTGTGCTGCACGTCTGCAGACCTTCAATTAAAACTGTTCAAGTAAAATATTCAGTTAAAAAAATCACCACCATCCTCAGATTTAAAGTTAAATAATTAAAAGTTGTTTTTATTTGAAATCAATGATATTTAGTTGGAATAAGAATTATCGAGATTGGGATTATTTAAACATTAATGTTGGTAAATGATTAAATCGTCCTTCAGAGTAAGTTTCAGATATTTGTATCGCTCTCAGGCTCTGGCCCGACCTGCACGCGCTCTTTAAACTTCCTTTAACAGCGAGGATCGCGCCCCTGCAGGAAGACGCCGGGCCCTTCCTGTGCAGAGGTGCCCAGTTTCCTGTCCGGTGTGGCGAACAGTAGCTCAGTCTGAAAGCTGTGACAGAAGAGCAGGTTTCTGATGCTTCAGAGAGGAAAGATTCATTATTTAGGTGCTGAAACTGTGTTTGACATGTTGCTGAAACTTTGCCTCAGATGTCTTAAAAGACTCTTTGTCTCTGCTCCCTCACCTCTGACTCTGCTGTGGGTCTGATGTTTCTGTAACCGTCCACTGTGCAGGAAAACAATGCAGCGGCTGCTGCGCTGTGACTTCCATGAATTATGCACATGTGCAGTGATCCTCAGTCAGAGTCAAACACTCAGGTTCTCCTGCAGCTCAGTGTTGGTGAAACAGAGTTCAGCTCTTTACATGTCAGAGCTACAGAAGGAGTAGCAGTGAAGAAACGCACATGCAAACACACGGGGCCCGAGGCGTGCCTGAGGCGTGCCCGCGGGGCCTCGGCTCTGCAGATCATAACAGTACAGCTCAGAGAAAAGTGACCACTGACCATCTGCAGGCTGGACCGTATAAAACAACCTGAAGCGACGAGTGATGTCTTGGTGGCCAAGCCCAGCTGTGTAGCTGACAGGATCTGTTTCAGTTTCAGCTCATTTCAGGGTCGTTACTGTGGAAACCCCCCAAAAACCGAAAGCAACCGGCTGCAGAGTCGATCCTCTGCGAGTCTCTGCAGGCTTACGACCATCAGCTGACTGACAGGAAACACTGAGTGTGAGAAATGGTGACAGGAATCCAGAACAGTCTGCACTCATCATCGGTCTGTAACGATGATGATGATGATGACTTGTTTGCTGCTTTTAAAAAAGACTTGTAACTCTGAGCATTTGTACAGCTGAGCTGGATCCATGCAGGTGAGGTGATGCTGTAATGTCCTGGCAGGCAAACATGCTAAAATAGGCGAGGAGTGATGAAGGTAACCAACAATAATCTCATCGCTGTGGACAAATCCTCCTGGACCGAGACCAAAACAACTCTGCGCACCTTTCAGGATTAAACCAGGTGCACTTGTGCTTTCACCTCAGTTTGTTTAGGATGTGCAGCACGCTCCTCACACGGCCTCCCTTCAGGCTGCTCAGCACAGGAAATGCCTCCGCAGTTTGTGGCGCGTTGACAGTCCACTGCCAGTAATCAGACAGGAAGCTGCTCCACTCTCCTGCAGATCTGTTTAAAACGGGGTTTACAGCTGGAACCAGATGTTTAACGGAGGCCTGAACAGAGCTGATGTGTCTTATTTTGACCTCACGAAGCGCTGACCTGCTCGTGTTTAATAACTCCAAAGGAAGGATCTGTCATCAGCGTAGTCTTGTTTCACGAGGGATCCCCTCGCTCTTATTCTGAAAGTTCAGTTGCTGCTAACTAACTCGCCCAAGCACATCCTGTCCCGTGTTTCCCCCTCTGATCCAGTTCATGTTGTGGTGGTTTTTGACATCTCTTCAGTCACACGTATTCCAGCAGCCGGAGGTGGACGGCAGCACCCCCACCGTCCTGGGAGACGAGCAGACTAACAGACAACAACAAGAGTTGCTGATTATTTGCTCGTCTATTTGGTACGAAGTACTTCAGAAACCAAACATTTGCAGAGCAGAGTTACGCGTGCGCATGTGTACATGTATATAATGATGTACACAGCGGTGATATTACCACAACAACACTGTGGGACATGAAGCTGGATCTGCAAACCCCGGTGGTGCCGCCTCTTTAACAGTTGGGCTCTTTACAGACGAAGAGTCGTCTGAGCTGGAGCAGGGCGATGTGACCGAAATATTTATCACGATGTACATTTGGAAATTTGCAATAACGATATAATTGATGCGAGACAAAACACTTTACAACTCCACAACTTTATTAGTGCAAAAACCATCAATGTATTTTCACTGAAACAAGCAGCTGTTTTTTATCTGCATTAAAGTTATATAAACATTTAACAGTGCAAATGCAAACTCCTCGCTGACAGTTTAACCAAAAG